ATAGTCCCTTAGCCTGGGTCTCCCAAAGAGAAGAGGGTGGGGTTTTGCCCAGACAGAACAGGGAACACAAGAGTGGACAGGACATCTGTGCTGTGGACGGTTTTTAGGCCTCTTCCCTGAGATTTCCCTGGCACCCAGCAGCCTCTTTCTGGCATTTTCTTCTTCCCAGATAAAGGCTGTCAGAGTTTCTGAGCAGCATGGAGATCCTGGTTTTATTTCCAGAGTGAAGTTTTAAAGGGCAGCCTAGGTGTTGTGGAGTGGCCGTGGGGCCGGGACAAGGGTCCAGGAGCCTGCACACAGGAGGGACAGAGGGATGTGACCGGGGAGGGGGGTCCTCTGCTAGAGGGAATTTCTGAGAGTGACCCCCAGGACCGCATCCCCAGAGATTGGGTCTCACTAATCTGGTGCTGAAGGCCAGGTGCCAAGTGAGGGCAGAATTATAGGGGGACGTGAGAGGGAGGGGAAGTCCCAACTCAGATGGTGGGAGAACCCTGACCGTCCTCCATAGTGACCTGGAGTCGGGAACAGACGTTTGCGATTGCCTTTAGGGACCTGCCGACAGGTCTCCCTGGCAGCTGTACTGCCACCGTCCCCGCCATCCCTCTGCTTCCTCTGGTTTGGGTGTAAGGTGCTCTGTCTCCTTCACCTCCCCAGCCCGTCCCTTCTGCATGACCTTCTCGCTGCACGTGTCCTCCATGAGCCACTCTGGTGCACTATCCCCCCCCCGCCCCCGAGCCATGTGCTTGTCGTGTCCCATGGGCCCCTTTGGTCGCTGTGCCCTGAGGTCCCTCAGGGAGGAGATGGGTCTGAGGGTCTGGCCCACGGGGAGCTCCTGGTGCGCAGACACTCTCAGGCATGTTCCCCACGGGGTGGAAGGTGTTGCTTGGTGCCCACTGGAGACCAGCCCTGTTCTGATGTGGCCCCTTCTACAGCCTCCCGGAGCTGGCTCCTACCCCGTCGACCTTTCCCGGGCCTGTGCCTGCTGGGCAGCTGAGCGAGCCCCTGCCGTCCAACCAGGTGAGGCTTTCCTAGGAGGCACTGGGTTCCTTCCTCAGTCCTGGATTCACTTCTGCCTTCGGACTGAACAAGTCGGCCAAAGATGAGCTTGGGGGAGCCGGGCAGAGGGCGCCTGCATGTGTGATGCTGTGTTGGCTTTCCAGGTGCCGTGGTCTGACAGCCAGGCCTCCAGCGATGCCTTCTGGGTGGCCAGGATGCTCCTTGAGCTTTCGGGGGGCAACATGGGCTGAGCTGCCCCCGGGAGCCAGGCCAGCATCTCAGGGAAGACGGGTGTGGACATTCGACCGTTCAGTACAAGTTCCAGAACCTCATCCTGATGAAGAGAGGAGGTTCCCGCGTTCCCTGGGGGCTCTGCTGGGAGGTGTGTGCGTCCCTGGTCCACGCCATGTTTATGCAGTTGTTTGGCAGCTCCCGATGTTGGAGGAAGCGTTTGAGAAATGTTTATGGATCCCCAGTCGAAGGGGTGTGTTCCACTCAGGCCATGGCAGACGCTAGGGCCACCCCTGAGCAGTTGTGGGCAGGAGACTGTTCCCCTGCCGGCCACCCTCCTGCCCGCCCTGCGCCAGGCCAGACTCCCCGTGGTGAGTGGGATGTGAAAGCGTGTTGTCAATTCTGTGCCTGTGGTGCTTCTCCAAGTGGCGTGGGGTGTCCCAGGAGGGTGGCGGGTGCCTTTCAGTCTAAGCTTGTAATCCGTTATGTTTGCCACATGTTCTGTTCAATTACATTAAAGTTTTATGCTCTGGACGCCTTGTGTTTATTCACCTAGCTGCACCCTGAGCACTGCCTGTCGCTGTGGCTGTCGGTCTCCGACCAGCATCGCACAGCACGGGTGCAGGGACCCAAG